TTTTTTTGACTCTATTTACACTCAAATTTTATATTTTAACTATTAAAATTTCAATTATTAAAAGAAAAAAGATACAAAATGTGTATGTAAGAAGATCTTTTCTATATATATATAAATGTTGCTATGCTTTGGACTCGTGAATTATAAGATTTTACAATTCAAACAAAATATGAAATATGAATCAATAATCCCACAATATTATTATGATATTATCCTGAAGAAACGGAATTATACAAACCTGAGCACAAAACGAAACTATTTCCAATATCAAGAAGTACCAGTGATATATTCCAAATACACAAAGTGAAAGACACAACAATGCTGCCACATAAAATCAACTAAAGAAAGTATGACCTGTGATGACATAGATCGGCCGCTCAAATTATAAGCAATATTGGCACTCCCCACTCAAATTAATTCTTACATACACTACAAGGCGTATCAGCTAATAGTCTTGTTTCTCGAGTTCTAATCTTCAAATCCAAGTTATGCCATTGTTGTTCCAATTAGATAAATTCTTTATGGACAATAATTAATATACTTTTCAGTTCAACACATCTAATAACAACTTCTGATTCAGTCATTAAAAAGCTAACATTTTTAAATTTGAATTAAAAGTAAGAAAAATTCCAAAAACAAATTTTAATGACTGAATCAATGGGTTTTGCTAGATATGTTAAATAAAAAAATGTACAAATCATTTTTCATCCTTTATACATAATCAACCATATTAATAGAAGTTTTTTATTAACATTGATGCTTGATACACTACAAGAATTCACTGTATCACCGACGAGCAGCCATGTCGGAAACAAGATGGAATCTGGTCGGTGAAGTAATATACCCACTTGAATCATGTCGTGTTGGGTTGCTCGGTGAAGCTTGGCTCGGTGATTTGAACACCGAGGTAGATGGAAATCACGTCGGTAAACATACCCATAATTACCGACAGAGAACATCTTGGAAAGAGGGAGCCGGAACACTTCACCGGAAAACATCTCTGGTTCCCACGTCGGTAAATCACCGACAAGCATAACGTCTGCACACACAGAGCAGCCTCGTGCCCAGCGCCTACCATCGACGAACATCACGTCTGACAATCCAAGAAAAATGCTTCGCATTTTAAGCCATGTTAGTAAATCACCGACAAAAACCACGTCTGAACTACACAAAAATCTTCCCTCCAGGTTTAAATGATCTCCAAAATTTTAGGTGCCAATTTTTTCAGGCGCCACTTTTTATTTTTGTTTTCCTAATTACCGACGAGAATCACGTTGGTAATTGAACCTGAAAAAATACAAAAAAATATCTCGAATTCAGCTCATATTAAAATTAATATATATTTAGTGTTTAATTAAATTAATTTACAATTAAACATTAAGTAATTCGTAATATTTAATATTATAAAAAATAAGTATAATATGAAAATTT